CCTTCTGGTTGGCAACCTTGCATTCGATGACGATGGGGTCATCTTGAGGCCATCTGACCTTGCCCCGGTCCCTTTCAGAAATAAGGACCTCAGGAAAGGTGTCTTTCGACGCCTGTCCCTCATCCACTGAGTTGATCAGCTTCCTGATGTTGTCTTTTGTACCCCGGATGGTTAGGCCTCCTCTGGCAAAACCGCCTGCTGTTGTGAAGACTGTCTCTTCATCCGTTTCGGAGTTAGTAGGGCCGGGTTTTGCCGTCTACCCCTTGTTTGTTTTGGGGTTACCTTTGGGCAGGTAAGACTTTAGAGCTCCCTCATCAGCTAGACGGTCTAACAGCCGCCTGAGGCTGTAGCAGCCATTAGTGTCATGGCCAACATCCTCATGGTATTGGCAGTATTTGCTCTTATCTCGGCTGCTGGCGGGGCTTTTCATGGCGGCCGATTTCTGGAGGGACAACCGATCCTTGATTTCCATGAGAATGGAGGAGCAGTCTTTTGTGAACTCGTACTTAGGGACGTACGGTTCAGATTTTCTTCTTGCCTTCTGGGCCGGCTGACCAGACCGGTCTGCCGCCCAGATTCCTTTTCTCTTGTCTTCCTTTTTTGCCGGCTGCTGTGGCCGGTTATCTTTCCTGCCAGATTTTTGAAATTTGACGATTGTTTTACAGCACAAAGCTCCGTCGCCTGTATATATGCTTCTGCTTCCATTAATGCCTCTTAGAGGGTGGCTACCCTTTTCCGGACGAGGTCGAACTTGAAGGTCGACCCATCCTTCAGACCGTTGAAGAAGTCTGTGTAAGCAACTTCGTCAGACAGCCCTTGAATCTGAATTCGCATCAGATTGAACCGCCTGACATAGGACCGGAGTCCTTCCTTCTCACCCTACTGTAGTGCCCCAAGATCAAGGCTGGTCTTTTTGGCAGGGATGTTCATTGAGAAGTTTGACGTGAATAAATACGCTAGAGTTCTGAAGTTGTTGATGCATCCGGCTGGTAGATTACCAAACCACTGTTGGGCAATGCTCTTCAGGGTCGCCGGGATGTATCGACACCACGCATCATCATCCAACCCCTGTAGATGCATGAGGTTGGAGTATGCCATTAGGTGGTCTTCTGGGTTGGAGGTGCCATCATAAGCACCTACCAACACATTCTTGACCTTGGGCGGCTGTGCTGCCTGGGTTATGTCTGGCGAGAACGCCGTAGGCTGCTCTCCCAGATTGAGCAGGCGCAGTTGCCAATCCGTGGGTTGGAACAGCTGCTGCCCATGACCCCCGAAGAGGCCTGGTGCGGAAAAAAGGGATCCACCCGGTACATATGGCGGACCATATTGTCCCGGCTGGATCACTTTGGGACCAGATCGCGCGGAGGGTTCGCGAGACTGATCCGCTTGGTCTGTTTCCGAGTGTTTGACTGAGACACTGCGGAGACTGTCAGGGATGGTCGACGTTGAGGCCGACGCAGACAGTTGCTGATTTCTCTTCTCCTGGAGAAACGTCCGGGCATCAGAGAAGGTTTTCTTGGATCCATCCGGCTGTAAGTGCCGGATGGCTTTTCTGTGCTCCACTTGAGGGAAGCGGAGCCTATTTAAGTCAATCTGGGGCCCCTCCCCCGCCTTGGGCTTGGGATGAGGAGTGGGCACAAGATCTTTCAGAGCCTTCTTCCCAAAGGATGAAGGTTTCTTGGCCGGCTAACCCTTCTGGGGGGTGGCTGACCAGATGAGATCCTTTATCTCGCCTTTGAAACTATTCATGAAAGTCATGAGTTCGTTTCTTGTGACAGGAGCAGATCTCGCTGCTGCGTGGGCATCCCCAACCGGCATTCCGGTTGTGTTGTTGGGAGCAGCTTGATTCTCACCTCGTTCCTTCATTTCTTTGGAACGGATGCGTTTGGTTCTAAAGGACCCGTCTAGGGCCACATAGGTGTCGATTTCATAGTCGTCACCACTTTCATGGTCCGTCTGGACCTCAGGCTTGGCCAAGGGCCGTTTGTGCAGATTCGATGGTATAGTATCAGAAGTCATCTTGGAAGTACCCTCCCCACAGACGGCGCCAATGTTTCGGGGTTTTTTGATGTGTCCTGCGGGAGAGTTATGATTCCAAGACTGAGCTGCCGATGCCGGTACCTGCAAGATCACGAAGACTCCGGTTGGTAAGAGCTTCGCCTCCGACGATCAAGTTAGTATGCGTATAGGAGGAAAGAATACTTAATAGGTAAAGTTCTTCTCGCTGATTGGGAGAATTCCGCAATTAATATTGCTCGGTGATAATGTTTATATTTTTTTTAATCCCCCATTAATGAGGTTTGCCCCACTATTTATAGTGGGGCAGACAAGTCCCCCATGAAAGGTATCAAGGACACGTGTAAACATGGGATTGGAGCCCTATTGACTAATGGCGATGCGCCATGTGTCACCAGCCCATTGGGTCACGTGTCTAGGGTAATTTTTACCCTAAACAGTTAGGATTAATTAAAGGTAATAGCCCAAAGTTGGGATTAATAAAACCAATTTTTCCTATTTTATTTTACGCATTTTATTTCACTCACTTGTGATCTAGTTTAGTGATGATGATTGATGAGAAACCTTCATATCCTGAAATAGTTAAGTGATATCCTTGTTGCTTTTGTTAAGTCCACATAAATCAACATCACTGTTCACATTATTTAGATTTATGGAGGCCTTGTTTGGTAAATAACTTTTAAAAGAGGTTATTGGGACTTTTAAAGGTTTGACTAAATGAAAAGGCTAAGTTTAGTAAATAGCTTAGGAGTTTTATAGGCTCAAAAAACTCTTTTTGAATTCATTGTCAAAATTGCTTTGGAGGCTCCCCTAGTGAACACGACATATTGATTCATTAGTGCGACAAAAGCAACAACATTTTAGAGTAGGTCATAGTGGCACATTGTGTGAGTACAATTTTGGTTAAAAAAAAAGTTACAAATATTTTTAATTTTGGTACAATAGTATGATTGCTTGGTATTTTGATACCAAGATATGCAATTTTCGTACTAAAATTACACTACTCAAAATCTCACACAATTTTCCACTTGGAGTTCCCCCGTTTGAAATTGAGCACATTTACTTTTACTTGGAGAGAAGGGAAGATGTTTAAAATGGGATGCATTATCTAAAAAAAAAACAAAAAACAAAACAAATATCTTTGGTCACAACTTTACAAGTTTACATTATAAATACCCAATATATCATTACTTTATAACACATAGGCGATTTCGTATCTTTACCTTGTCTCTTCCTTTTTCCCATTACCAAATAAAATTATGCCCAACCCTATAGTGCAATATTAAAAGAACAGAGGAAGTATTAAAAAACAACGAGTCGTGATTAAGAGCTCAAATAATTTAACACAACTTCTATTTATGATCAAAAGAGCTCTTGAAGCCTTTCCTTACAAAACAAAGAGCCATGTACCAAAAAACAAGCATTGCCACCACGCTGAAGAAAATTGTCTGATGTATACTGGTAGTAGTATCAATCACCCTCATTAAGTGGCCAATTTCCTAACAAGAATCATTGTTAGTATCGTGTTGCTACCAAGGGGATACAACAGGCCTAATACAATTCTTTTGGGGGTTAAACCTTCAACTCTCAGTTTAGGTCGAATAGGGCTAAGTCACTAAGACGATGAATTCCCAAGTACTAACTAAGAACAGAACCAGCTTGTTAACTTGCTAAAATCTCTCCTCCCGATAACAAAGACAAAGCCTAAAACATCAATCCTACATCCTTTAGCCAACTCTTTCATGAGCAAAACTGTCCAAGTTAACCAGGAAGATTAAGTTGGGATGAAGGGGGTATCAAACAATGTAGAATTTGTAGAGCAAATTGTAAATCCAATATGTTTCTCCTGCCAAAATAGGATCTATTTCTAGTATATGATCATCTATTGGTTGGACTACATAGCAGAAACAAATGACTGGCAACGTCATGTGAAACCACCATTCAAAATATTATGGTAAGAATTTTAGATAATCCTCAACTATACGCCTCTTCAAGGAACCACTTATAAATGTGCTTTGCTAAAAGAATAGCCACCTACTCTCATACGCAGCTAGTCAGGGAAAATGTAGGATCTTCTCTATACCATCCTTAGTAACCCTTTAACAAACAAATATGGGCACAATATCTGAAAGTTTTAATAAAACTAACTTTCAAGAACCCCAAAGTGAAACCTAATTTTATGGTAATGTTATGAAACTAAAAAATGCACCCACCAACCAATTTAACATAGTTTGAACATGGAAAGAAGTAAGCAAAAGGAAGAAGAATCAGTAGATTTATGATACAAAGTACCAATTCTTAAGAAATTATATTTAACAATCATATACAATCCTCCTCCAATTCAGAACAATCCTTTGGCTGTCTTACCAGAGAATTGATCATGCTGATTGACAATGTTTTCCAGTTTGTGACCATAAATGATACATAGAACCTAGATAAATCATCATTTGAGGGTTCTAAGGTTCATTGTTATTAAATTATTAAGGTGTTTTTAGTTCTAAAAAAAATTGCTAAGCAAAAACAGAGGACTTCTGAAGGTGATTTCTAATTATTGACCCTTAGAATTGCAGAAGACCAAGCTAGTTTAGCAAAGGCATGAGGCAGGCACTATGCACATTGCACAACAAATAAAACTGGATGGACCAAGCTATATATTTGCATTACGACAACACACTTTGCTCAACAACAACATGAGCTTTGGGCTTCTAAATCTCAAAAGCGGTCACCAAATGTCCACCAATTTCGCTTCCCCTTGACTAGTAGTCCCACTGATATTCATGCTTTCAGTTTTGTTTTAACAGAAGAGATCCTACAGGTCAATTGCTCTAGCCTAAAAAGACCACTCTATAGGGTTGCACCATCTATATCAACCTCAGCTTTGATACTGCTCAGCTATAGTTTCACCCGTAAGAAACTCTAGCTCCTTAAGTACTCGACTAGGCTAGACATCCTTATTATATATGGATATAACTGTGATCTTGGGATTAAAAAGCACCCTTCAAAATGCAATAAACCCACATCCCATAATGGACAAGTCAACAGAGACAATTCCTTGTGTAGTTGTACATAACAAGGAAAAAAAAAAACAAAACAAAACAATCACAATCCTAAAAATTCAAAGTGTTTAAGGAGATATCCAAAGTTTATTTGGTAACAAAAAGCACCAAAAGTACATCATTTAACACAAGGAGGGAAAGAGAAGAAATAGTTGAAGTAAGGGAAGAAAAACACAAAAAAAGATATGATGAACAGGGGAATTGAGCGGCATGTTCCCAGTTGGCAATGGCTTTTCACATGTCTGCCAAAATAGATGGAAGCCATCCTAATAAGCTAGTGTAGTTGAATATATTGGCAGAAAGCAATTAAACAAATAAAATCTAATTAGCGGGTGGCTTGTAGGTGAAAGGTTGTTGTGGAAGAGTTAACGGACCTCTCCTGAGCTCATTATCATCCAATAATCTTTGAGTCCTCTTCTTCCCGCAGTGTAGCCTGTCGAAGTGCTTCACCTGGGATTTGATTTTGATTTTGAAATTAGGTTTAAGAAGAATTAATGATCAGAAAAATTAATCAGAAGAATGAATCAGAAGAAGAGAGAAGGAGATAGTACCCAAGCAAGGCGGCAACTGTTCTCGAAATTAGCCCTAAACTTCTTGCATTCTGCAGGATAGAGAAGGCCCACGGAAGCACATTCGGAGGCAACCTTGCCAGATTCTCTCTCCAAACAAGCGTAGAATTCATCCCGTGCCTGACTTTCAATTCTCAATTAAAACACAAAATTAAACTATCAAATCATTAATTACTGATTACAGATTACCTTGTAGCAAGCTTGTCTCGCACTGGCTAGCACATCGCTATGGACTTTATCAGACTTTTCCGCAGACATGATTTTTGATTCCCGATTTTCTCTCCACTTTCTTATTCCCCAAGGTGGGCTGCATCAACTGGATAACAATAGCACCTCTCTACAATAATAACTAATATAAATAAATAGGCAAAAGCTAACGAACGTTCGGGTATTAGATAAGACAAATTAGAAATATTGAATAAAATTGAACATTAATAACATTGATTGATGCGTGATTTTGACATGCATTTCTAAATTAATACGGAGTACTACTTTAAGAAACATTTTAAATGCATATCTAACATCCAGGGACATTCGTTAGCAAGATCCAAATAAATAAACAAATTGTGAGAATAATTATCTTATAATCCATTTCTTATTGGTGATTGTGGCATACTTTTAGTACAAGTACATGAGAACGGTGCCATGTGAGACATATAATTCTATATAGACATAAATTATAAATTGAGGTGTTTAGTTACTCCTACGAGGTTTTCATTTAGTGAGTATCCTTTTTAAGAGTTAAAAAAAAATTACTAGTAGTTGACAAAAATGCATAAGAAATATTGGATAACCTACTTAACAGGTATCACAAAGCTTAGAATAACACACAACGTGTGCAACTTAGCTTTTTCTGAGCTTTGTAGCACAAATAAATGTGCTTTGTAAATTGTATATTAGATTTATTTAGGATAACTTTTCATAGGATCAGGACTAGGAGGTCGGGCGATGGAGGAGGGGGAATCACATAAGTGACATAACGAGGTAGGAGAGCTACATGCATGACTGCAAGGAGGATGCAGGGGTACTTAAGGCTAGGAGGAGAAGGTTGAATTGGACTAAGGAGATTAGAGACCAAAAATAGATTATATGTTCCTTAACACGTTTTTGCATTGGGCAAATCAGCAACATATAATGCTTTGAGCTGAGATAATGAAAATAACTGTAATGTGTCAACACCATATAATCTTGGATTGTTTAAGTCTTACCAGCAATGAGCGTGGACGGAAATGGACAAAGACTGTTTGCTGAATGACAAAAACAGCCGGTCCTTTTATGATAATCAGATAGTGCATGGACATTTACATAATAAATTGGTTGAGGGGTGTTAACAATATTGAAGCTAGACATGGGCTGGTAAGACTAACTAAGTAACTATATCTGTATAAAGTGCGCACGTTCAACTTCATTTACCCTCAGTCTCTCACAAACCATCTATCTTTTCGAAGTACTTGGATTTGTGCGAGTTAGATCAGAAGCTCTTCTTTTGTTTCTTTTGCTCTAATGAAGTTGGGATTCTGCATCCTTGTCTTGCTAAATGTTGTCTTCTCTGAACGTTGTGTGTGTGTAATCCAGTCTGCTCCTTGACCTCCACAAAATCATCACTGATCAAAGATTGCTGATAGTATCGAAAAGCCACGAACAACATGAAGGCTGCCATGAATATGAAAGGCATCGAGTCAAGCATTGTATATACTGACACGATCTATCAAATTTAGTTCTAAGATCACCACATTCAAGACTTTATTACAAAAGTATCGTTTTAGTATAAGATTGGAGCAAATAATGATTGATGAGGCCTTACCTGCCCATGCACGAGCAACTACTGAAGAAAAATTCCAGATGATGGTGAAGATAGCGAATGCTAGAGCTTTTTTATGTGAGCATGACTCCCAGGCATCTCGGAAACGCCCAACCCAAAACTTGGCTGAAATGTGTCAATTAAGTACAGACCGATTGTTGGAATAGCAGGAGCAAATGACAAGTAGGAGAGCAGGAGTAATTGTATGGAGACATGTAGTATTTTGCCGTTGTTAGCATGGGGATAGGGACATCATTTCATGAATTATACATACCCTTCCTTTTACCAAATTATACTTAAATATACTGAGTATAGTTTCAATCGTTCTCTTTCTTTCTTTTTATCTCCTTTTCTTACTTCCACTAGTACTCAGTCTACTCATTTGCCTTTTTATTCCAATTCTTATTTTATCCTTATTTCACTATTCAATAGTCCTTTTTTTTTACCCTAAAATTTCTCATATTCTATTTTTCTTTTTTTCTTCTCACAACTATCCAGAACTTTACAAACTCTCAAATTCCAATAACGAGTGCATCCCAGATCCATATTTAACATATACCCATGGTATCATAGCAATTTGCAATGGATTCCTCTTTAGAGAAGTGAATGTGGAAGCAAGAGGAGGTATTAAGAGGGTTATATATGTATATATATAAAGTAAAGTGCAACGGAAAGGAAAAAAAAAAGCTGAAATTAATTTTTTTTACCGTGTGCAGTAATCTGAGTAGAATAGGAAGAACAGAGTTTGGGAATGACGAAAACTCCAAAAAAGCCTGCATCAATCCAAATGCACATGCAGATGTGAGAAAGTGAGAGACCACACTCAGTTTTCTTTTCTTTTACTCGTACTCCGTATTACACTAGTACTCGTACTAGTGAAGTAGAGCCACCAAACAAACAAAGCGTAAAGCTACTGCAGACTTGTTTAAGCATTCCCAGTAAACCATTACACATCCGCATTTATTTGCAGTTCCTGACGCCTCCAAGTTTGTGCACATAATTATTACAAATGTATACTAATTCAAATAAAAAAAATTAAACTCGCAGCTAATTAAACTCAGCAACTTAAACATTGCGGGTCAACTTATTGATGCCAGGCCAGCCATTATACTTCGTACTGTATATATTTAATCAATATAATATATCCCAATAAAGAGGATGCTGCCAAACAAAGATTAAAATACTAGATACGCCGTAATTTTATAATGGTCAATTGATGAAACTTACTCAACTTCAACATCTTCCAAACAGTGATGGAGCTGCCGCACCTTGCCAAGACAAATAACACCACTGCCAACTACAATTTCATTTGCACACAACAAGCACATATTAATCAAATCTGTGTTTAGAACTAAAAAAAAAAATCTGTGTTTAGAACTAATCAAGGATACATCCAGATAATTGATAGTGTACTCCGTAACTCAACTAGTAATGTGACAACTTATTCAAATGTGTAATTAATTGCTTAATTAAGGAAGTTAACCTTCATTGTCATGGCAGGATCTCCAGAAAAAAATCCTCTTATCTTGAGAAGAAATTCATTCAGATAAGGAAGAACCAGCTTTACAAGCCAAACTGCTTCTTCTTCTCCCCAGACATAGTTTTCACGCCGCCTATCTTCTCTATCCATGAGTCCTCTGTTTCCATTTTTGAAGTATCAGTAGGAAAAAGGAGAACAAGAAAAGAACAAGGCTTAGAAGAGGTACCTTCTCATAAATGACTTGTACAAGAACACAATGACGAGATAGACAAGACTTATATAGGAGCCAGCTGAAATGAGGCTGCAGTTGCAACAAAAGGGAAAATTTTCAGCACTATTACCAAAGCTTCTACATTTCAGGAACAGAGACAACTATTACAATAGGAATGTTAACCTGAAATTGAAGTCTTTTGCATAGGAGGATGAGATTATAATGAAGGTTCCGAAGCCAAAAATGAATGCTGATTTGGCTACATCTCTCCACATCACCAAATCCACTGGGGGGACAATACATTGGATGTTCAAGAATAGGCATTTGATAATGCATAGAAGTAGTTGATAAAAACAACAAAGAATGGAGTTATTTAACGCAAAATTGCAAACTTACCTAAAGTCTGAAGCTTGCTATGTGTGGAGGTATCATATTCATTTAAGGCCTCTCCTGAAAAAGCAAGTGAAAGTAGCAAGTATTAGCAAGGGAAAGAGTCACATATATACATGGTTGCTATAACAAGATTGGGAAAAAACTATTTTTTTTTTTAAAAAAAGGCATCAAACAAAATCAGAGTCAATATATCTGCAAATTATGCAAATAAATCACGTATTACTAGTGCAAAGATCTGTAGTAAGTGCTTACGCGTAGTAGTTGAAGTTGGGGCACCGATGGTTGATTTTGATCGGGGTGAAAGGGGTTTGCAGCAGGCTGTTGTTGAAGTTGGAGTCGAAGTTGTAGTTGTGGTTGAAGGGTGGGGGCTTGGAATTGACTTAGCACCTGTAGTAAGGCCTACACTGCTCTTGGTAGCAGATGGACTTAGCTCCTTCTTAGTCTTGTTTTTAATGGAGCTTTCTTTAGAAAGATCAAGTTGAATCAGTTTATCACTACTGCCTTGATCATGTGTTTCTGAATGTTTATCATGACTGTCAACAAGCTCATTCTTTTCTCCATGCTTAACATAAAGTGTATGATGATCACTACTAGAACTGATTATCTTTTCTTTGGGACTTACTTGAACCGCCTCCATCTTCACCTCCTCTGTACCACAAGTATTCACAAAGGCAGTCACATCCTGATCTTGGGTATTATCGGAATCGTTGACATTATTATCCAGCAGGTCATGTTGATTTGAATCACAAAGGGTCAATTTGGGGTTCATATTGGATGAATGAGCTGCTACATTACTTGTGGGGCTTTGATTGGGAGAGTTGGAGTTGGTGATACTTGTTAAATGATCCCAATTCTCGGAATTAACCTTGATCAATTGAGTCTCATTGGTTGAGCTGACCTCCTTGAGTGGTTCAGATCTCGTCTTCTTGAGCATCTGAGTCGGAGATCTAATATTGTGATTGGAATTAGAAACAGCACTCGTAGGATCGGAAATGGGACTCTCTAGGACCTGCTGCTGCTGTTGTTTGGCAATGACGACTGCAGTAGTGGAAGTTGAATTCCAGATTTTTCGCTTTCCGCCCAGGGGCTTCGAACTCATTTCTGGGTGATTGATGCCAGTAGCATGGCCAACCTTGACTCGGCCCATATCAATTCTGGTAGTCGCTGTTCTTCTCGTTGTTGTCACGTTTCTCTTACCACTTTCTTCCATTTTTCAAACTTTGTTTACCTCACAATACACACCAGTAGACAGTAGTATCCAGTTCCACACTTGGACTGTATGTGTGTGTATACGTGTAGTCTATTTGGCTGCTTCATTTGATTACGTTGAAACCAAACAAAAACCTCGGGATTCCCTTCTCTCTTCCTCTCATGTCAAACCATCATCACTTATGGAGTAGTTGCAATTCATATCCTGTCTCGCTGTCTGGGCTTTCTTTTCTCTGTGTTTTATTTTGCTTTAAAAACAAAAAACCGCAATTCTAGTTCTAGACGTCACTACTTTAACCAACTGCTGTTAGAAATTATAATTAAAAAAAAAAAAAAAAAAAGGATTTCTGGCAAATGGTAGTCATCATTGAATTTTGATACCCTCTGCCTTCTGTCATTTCTTTTAACACGTTGTGGAGAGCTTTAGAAAAATATACGGAGTAATGATAATAATAAAATAAATTTATACGGTTAGGTTAGTAGTACTAGAGATCTAAAACGTCAATGAAAGCAGAAGGTGCTCACCTTTTGGGGATAAAAAAAAACCCTTATCTATCTCACCGGATCACATGCAAAGCCACGCATTGCACCTAACTTTTAATACTCGTTTAAAAAACTTCTTTCGCCTTGGATGCACAGGATTCTCTATGCCGCACATGATTAATGCAGGATTCTCTTTCAAGCTCTTTAATAAAACAATAAAAAAAAATAATTAATAAAAGACCTTCAACGTAACATCCGAAGTATCACTCAAATCACACACTAGTTACAAATATTAAAAACCATATCATTTCCTATATACGAAGTATAACTTTTTAGAATCTTTAACTTGTAATGTATCAAAATGAATACATACATATAGTTGATTTTGAATTCAAAGCGTAAATAATAAAAAAGAATGTCAAAAGCAATATTTTGGGAGGTACTCTAGCCTAATTAGGTTTTTTTTTTTTTTTTTTTTTTTTTTTTTTTTTTTTTTTTTTTTTTACAAATGCATAAAGTACTAGTGTATTCCAAACTATGAACTAAGTCCACTAAACTACTCACAAAAGCCTTATTAGCTCTAATGTTACACATATTACAAATTAAACTATAGTATAAATAGTAAAGTGTATAATTCTCTTATAACAACAAGGCGATTTGAAATTTCAAATATTTGCTTCTGAACATTTTTCAAGAGATCCAAATACCTTTGTATTTTCTATTGAATTTAGGTGTTAGGACAAAAGAATAGAGAGCATAATAGTTTTTGGCAGACACTAAATCGAGCTCTAAAAGACTCCAAGAATCTTGAATGTTAGGTAAGAAGGGTAAGATAATAAAATGACCGAAACTTAACCATTTGACTCGGTATCCTTAACTATGGATATCTTTAGTCCTTTCTAGAGGCCATTAACGTACAATAAACCCCTAAAGTTTCCTTTAAGGAGCCCAAAACATTTCATTTTGGAAAACATGAGATTAAAAAAAAAAAAAAAATCAAAGCCATGAATTGAGAATTTATCGCTAAGCGAAAAAAAGTACCAAGAGATAACCTTTGATTACTTTGCTGACCAAGCAGATCAAAAGAAGTAACACCCAAAAAACATGCCAATACAAACCTTAAGAACTAAATCAGACCACAAAAATAGAAAAATCCCCAATTTTACACGAATTGAAAGCCAAAATACTATAATAGGAGGTAAACATACCCCCTAACTTCCCAAACATCATGTATAAGTATAACCGCAAGATTAAACTCAGCCAACCCCAATTACAACGACGATTGCATTGAAAAGCATCAAACTTTGGCAAAGATCCAAAAATGCAAGGAAACCAAAGTACGAACTTAAAAGTGAGCTTAACTCCAAAAACCAATAACTAGACAACTACGCACAAAGAAGCTTAACATGGCTCGAGAAATCAATAAGGCTAAATAATACCAAAGAAGAAACCCTAACCAAATCTTTATTTTTACCAACTATTGCCGGACGATTTGAAATCACATAACGGCGACGACAAAGTCAGCTCCCCCAAAACCCTTGTCAAACTAGATCCTACAACCCTTAAGGTAACAAATCTAAATCCCAAACAAGAAGCCTTAACCCTGAATATTAGAAAGTATAAACGACAACATTGGAAATCTTTGAAAATAGGACTCCCAAGGTTGATGAATCCCACGGTCCCTTTTGTTCCTGCTATAGCGACCTTCGGGTAAAATCAAAACCGAAATAAAAAAATCCGACAAAAGACTGAGAGCCTGACACTAAAGCCTTGTTTCTTCACCTTTAAAAAAAATATTCAGTTAAATAATTTCAGTTCAATATTAATAAGTTCAGTCAGTAAAATAAATTTCAGTTTAATAAAGATAAGTTCTATTCAGTAAAAATCAGTAACTTCAATGAATAAATAAAATAAAGAATCAATAAAAAATAATATTTTAATTCAGCAAGAATAAGATGAAGTGAACATGGCCTAAGTGGAGTTTGAAGCCTTCGTGAAAAAGGATCCTTGGTTGCGGAGGAAACACTAACCTTTAGTGGCTAAAAAGTGGGCACTATTTAGGAGAACAGTGCCACTTATCTACTAAATAGAAGAGAAAATTCAACAGCGACAGGCTAAAACCTAAAACTCCGACGACGTTCTAGGTTTCCAAGAGGGGAGGGTTGTTTTGGAGGATAGAGAAGAGAGTCTTTCTATTTGGAGAGAGAAAGCACACTTTACGTTTATGGAGACTACTAAAAAGATGAGGAATAATGTATTAAATCAATTTCTTACGAGTGCTTTCCCTAAATAATGTTGGAAAATTCTCTAATTCCCAAAATACAGCCACTCTTTTTTTAATTCCCACTATACCGTCCACGTCAGCTTAGGGGAAAAATCGGTTTTTTTTTTTATCGGTCCAGCAACAAACCGCTACTTGAAGTAGCGGTGTTTTGAGTATAAACCGCTACTTCAAGTAGTGGTTTCAATTTCATACACCGCTACTTGAAGTAGCGGTTTACACAAGAACACCGCTACTTCAAGTAGCGGTTTTGCTGTATTTTTTTTAAAAAAAATATCAGTAAGGAGAAGGGGAAAGTGACCGCCACAACTTACCGCAGCTCCACCCACCACCGCCCCACGTAACACCGTACCCACCCACCCTGTCTACCTTGACCACCACCCACAATATAAAATTAAAAAAATAAAATATAATAAATAAACAGAAAATCCAAAAACCAGAAAACCGTCTACCTTGACCACCACCACCACAACCCAGTACCCCCACCCTAACCGAACCTAATACCCCCACCTTAACCCACCCAATCCACATCTACCAACCAAACACACCCAAACCAAACCCAGATCTACAACCCTAACCAAACAACCACCCAAAAATTAACAAAAAAAAAAAAAAAAACGAGAAAGAAAATTAAAATCAAGAAACCATACCTTGACACCGAAATTAGATGTTAAGTTCTCATCAAATTTGGTTTAATACGGCCAAATTCGATCATGAAACCTCTAGATCTAGAGGTTTCATGGTCGAATTTGACCTGAATAACCAAGGAGCGTAGGTTGCGTAGTGGTGGTGGTGTTGGTTGCGCAGCGGCGTAGGTTTTGTTGTAAGTGTGAGAAGGAGAAGGAGAAGGAGAAGGAGAAGGAGAAGAGAGAAGTGAGAAGAGAGGAGAAGTGAGAAGGAGAATAGAAATGATGAGAATGGCGGAGGAGAGAGAAGGAGGGAGGAGAGGAGTTCAGAGAGGAGGAAAGAGGAGAGGAGAGGAGAGAGAAAGAGGCGGGTTTCATAGAAAAGAGGAAAGAGGAGAGAGAAAAATATAATAAGGAAAACCGCTACTTGAAGTAGCGGTTTTTATTCAGTATACCGCTACTTCAAGTAGCGGTTTTCTTATAAACCGGCTTTAAAAATAATTTCCAATGAACCGGTGACGTGGACGGTAGATTGGGAATAAAAAAAAATTGGTTGTATTTTGGGAATTAGAGAATTTCCCAACATTATACATTTCTTACTAAGAAAATTATATTTGGCGGATCTTGGAACTACCTTTGGAAAATTTTTATTTTGTTTTATAATTATATTATTATTATTATTTTTGAGCATTTCCATCCCCAACTATCATTTTCTTTTTATTATTATATTTTTAACGACATGAGGTCCCAATAATTTTCTATGAATAAAGAAGAAAAATTTGCCAATTGTAGCCATTTAAAGTTTGTATTTTGCAAATTGCAACCATTTAAAAAAAATTGCAAATTGCAGCCCAAAAGTACTAATAAATTGTAAATTGCTACCCGATTCAATTTTTTTTATCGATTTGGGTGTCGAAAAATGTTCCGTCAAGGTTTTAAAGGCCATTTCAGCCCTTAAGAATCTAATTGGGCTCGAAATTGGCAAAAAATGAACGTAAGTGTCTCATTTTCACGACCAAAAATAATTGCACACAAATCAATACAGTTTTTGATGCGCAAAACGAGACACTTACGTTAATTTTTTTGCCAATTCCGAGTTCAATTCAGTCCCTGAAAGACTTAAATGACTCCTAAAACCTTTGCGGAACATTTTTCAGCACGCAAATCGAGGAAAAATTTAATTTGGGTGGCAATTAACAAGTTATTAATTCTTTTGGGCTGCAATTTGCAATTTTTTTTTAAATAGCTGCATTTTGCAAAATACAAACTTTAAATGACTGCAATTGACAAATTTCCAACAAAGAAAAATAAAAATGTAAAGTGCAACAAAAACAAAAAAAAAAAAAAAAAAAAAAACGAAACAAAACAAAACAAAACAAAAATTGTAAAAGTTATGCTTCGGAATTCTATACAGAGCTTCTATGGTAAAAGAATATACAGATTTCTACAAGGGATTTCCCTCAACATTGCTTAAAGATAAAATAATTCCTTATTTGCGTCGGTTCTAAAACTAATTCCCACCATATTGTCCACGTAGGATTGGTGGTAGCTTCATTATTTTTTTTTTTAAATTTTGGTTCAATGAAGAACCGCTAACGGTTCTACACAATAAAACCGCTATCAGCATTAGAGGTTCTTCTAATTAAGGAAGTGGAAAGAAGGTTATAAGTGTGATATATTTTTATCAGAAGAACTGCTAACGGTGATAGCGGTTTTATTGTATAGATCTGCTATCACCGTTAGCGGTTCTTCAGTGAACTAGATTTAAAAAAAAAAAAAAAAAAAAAAACGAAGCCATCACCAATCCTACGTGGACAATATGGTGAGAATTAGTTTTAAAACCAATGCAAATAAGAAATTATTTTATCTTTAAGTAATTTTGAGGGAAATTGTTCGAATCCTACACCATAAATTCATTTCATTAATAATCACGTATCATTCCTAAGTACGGAAGTAGTGACATGTTTATATTTTTACTATAATACAGTGAAACAGAAATAACAAAGCAGAGAGTCTTCGAAAGCAACATACAACATTGGGTTCGTACCAAGGATTACAAAAGCTAGAACCGGAGGCGGCAAATGAACAGGTGATAACCTTCTCCTCGTGACAAACTCAATTCCTATGAGGAGCTGCTGAACCGAGGCTTCTTATCCCCCCTCTCTCCCTCTCAAGAAAATACCACAACCACTCACATGAAGAGATCTTATTCACTTCAGTCATTTTTTTATTTTTTTTTGTAATCATTATTGGAAGGGCCGGAATCAGTTATTAATTTCCCGTTTTGTCCTGAACTAAGTTTCTACATCTTTCAGTTTTCTTCTCAAGTTCGAGTTGCTTGCAGTTCTCTTCATGTGCTCGGTTGAACATTCTTGTGAAATTGAGCAGAGTTGTGACAACTACAAGAGAATATGACAGAAGTGAACCAGATAGATCACTTTACATACATGCCCATATGCAACACAAACAAGGTTTATATAGTGGTTTTGGCCTGTTTGATAGTTAGTAATAAAATGATTTTTTAGTCTCAATACCTAGTACCCATGGTAATGTTAGTCCTTCCTTAAATACCTCTTTTTCTTCACAAAATTTTAATTCCATTTAAAAGGTGGTATTGTGTGTTATGAAGTTTATGAACAAAAACAAATGTTTGGAGGTAGAGTTTCAATAACATGGTAGTGAACATAAGATTTCCTAACAAAATTACAAACAATTCTATATTCATTCCCAATAATATGACCGCTTACTAAACATGTAGTTAGATGCATGCTCCCCCCCCCCCTCCCCTTCAACACACACACACACACGCACAATCTATATCCATTCCCACTAAATATGACCACTTACTAAATGTGTAGTTAGATGCCTGGTAATGAACACAAGATTTCCTAACAAAATTACATACAAATCTATATTCATTCCCACTAATTATGACCGCTTACTAAGCGTGTAGTTAGATGCATGCCCCCCCTCCCCCAAAAACACACACACACACAATCTGTATTCATTCCCACTAATTATGGCCACTTACCAAATGTGTAGTTAGATGCATGGAAAAAAAAAAAAAAAAAAAAAAAACACACACACACACACACACAAACACAAAAAGCATCATTAATGAACATCCGACTTGTTGGAACCTTTGCATAAAAAAATTATTTCCCACCGAGAATACAACTATAGAAGTCAAGCCATTATTAAACCATAGGGTTGTAATTTCAATTTGTTCACATTCTTTTAGAAATTATATGAGGAAAATTACAAGATCATAATTCTACCCATAAACATGAAGCAAATAATTACTTTTATTATCTCTTCACTTAATTTGCCACATTGCTTCCTAATTCTACCGAATAAGAATGCAACTAGATTCATTGGAAGAAGACATTACCTTGCTCAAATGGGCAACAAGCTGGATCTTCCCCAAAGTAAACTATTAAAGTGTCAACATTTCTACCCTGCATACCATTGATTATGTGAGTCAACAGTTTAAGCTTATAGACAGAAACATTAAAAATGAAAGAAAGCTCAAGGCTTTAGACGTACAACACGAGAGTAAAGTAATGCCAGCGAGCGCACCTCTGCCTCAGCAATATAGAGAAACTCCTTGAGATTCTGAAAATTTGAAAGAAAGTTCAATTGAAGGCACCTAAAATGAAAGGGAGTGACATTATGTGAATCGACACTCTTACCACTCGCCTATTAAAAGTATATCAAATACAGTTTCAATTTTGATTAATTCCATGAGTGCTTTTCCAAAATTATTTCCTTCTTTCTGAAAAGTATTTTGATCACAAGTCTGCTGAAAAGTATTATAGGTTAAGCATTTCGTGATCTTCCTAGACAATTCCAAAGGAATTATCCATATAATATCTTAACCCATAATAGAGACAAAAATTATAATGCTATGGATGATGGGTACCTGTTGTTTGTTCCATATGATTTAGAAAAATTCTAGACGAAGACCTCCAGTTTGAAATACCAAAAGGGAACTTTTTTTAAATCACAAACCATCTAGAATTTCCCTACAATTTAAAGTGCACTAGGTTGCAGTTTCAACCAATCAAAGACCCTTTGGTGAAGGGCAATTATCACACTTATAAAACAGTTGAGATATAAAAAAAAAAAAAAAGAATATTAATGATATGAATGTGTGTAATAGGCTCTGATGAGAATATCAGAAAAGTGGTTTCTTCCAGACCATTAGGAAAACAAGGATCAATAAATACACAGCAATAACTGTAGAGAGAGTATCATGGGATAGTTGACTAGTCACTATTCCACAGTGACATATTAACCACACACCTTTCATCCGTGGTGTATTAACAAAACTATGTTTTGCTAAGCAATAGGAGGAGCTGCATCTGATGATATCAATCAAGAATATCACATGTGTACAGTATGCTTTTTTGATAGAGCTAAACACTGGGGGATGAATTAAAAACTTTATTTTTACTACCTTCCGAAATGCATCTGAGATGGGCCCATCATTCTCTGACATGGACAATTCCTGCACAACCTTTTCCAGCCCTTTGTTAACTGCTTGCATCTCCTCTGCCAAAAAATTTTGTTGGATCTGATTGGAGGTTTTATCTTATCAGGATTAGTGCAACAACAGATTCTGCCATTGGAAACTGAGAGGTGTACCTTTGTAGCTGATTCAATGCTAGCAAAATCCTTTGAGAAATCTAGGAGCTCTGGAAGTTTTTCAGAGATCACCTATGAACCATCAGCAAAATAAATGAAAAATATTGTGCTCAGAAGTACTTAACACAAAGCCAAAGGATATTATAGCAACACATTAATGTCAAGTAAAACACCTGTATATCACAGATGCTACCTCAGTCACATATTACAACAGATAATTCAATCACAACGTAAAAAAATAAAAAATAAAAAACAAATTAAACAAAAAAACGTTCATGATGCCATACATAAAGACCAAAACACCCTCTTAATTTTTTTTCACTCTCCTCCATGCTTGCCACCACCCATACCAACTGCCACCAAATTTCCAATCATCAAGAGTCCAACAATCGGGTGGGACCTATTCTGACAGCAACAGTCTGCATACACCTTGGAGGCTGAGGAGGAATCTTCCATGTCGTTGAATGAGTTGAAAATTTTTATTTTACCTAAAATTAGATAGGCAGTTGGTTCTTGCAATTACACCATAGTATAGATGTATCCTGTACGTCTTATGCGCCTATAACAATATACCATGGTAAAGACATGTAAAGAAGGTGCCAGCACCATGGCAAAGGCGCATAACACAGTCACCTATATTATGGCCTAGATGTCAGTTACATGCCTACACCATGGTGTAGGACTGTAAGCTATAATGCATACACCTATATCATGGTGTAGGTGCATAATGCATACGCCTATACCATGGTATAGGTACAAAAGCCAAGTGCCTATATGCATTCGATTTGTAATTTTTAGCTGTTTCTTCTTTGTATTGTAATTTAAAAAAAAATAAAATTATTATATTAATTACAAGTTTATAATATATACTTCGTATAATTTAATAAAAAAATAAGTTACATTTAATAATAATTGAAAAATAAATATTAACTCAAAATTCTCATAATTCGTGTTAATATTTACAAACATTGACAAATCGTTTTAATTGATAAATTGGTAGCAGTGGTCACAAGGTGGTGGCTGGTGGGGTGAAGAGAGAGAGAGAGGGGGCTACGCTGAAGAGAGAAACAGGGCTAAGAGAGTACAGGAGAGGTTGGAATCAAATAAAGGCATTTTGATCATTTAATATGGCGCCATGATTAAATTCATGGTGTACCCCTAAAACAACAGCGAGGGATAGACTTTAACAAAGCACAAAATATTAAGAACAAATGAAATTTATATTGCACATAATTAAATTAATTATACATTTTGGTCCATGCAGAATATTTTATCCATGCAGTACAAACATAAACAAGAAATCAAGTCCTAATACAAATTTTTATTTGCAAAAACTGCAATCATGCAAGAAACCTCTCATGTCCAAATACAAATCAATTCCATGCAGCTTGAGCATAAGCAAAGGGTATGACGACATAGGGCCCCAGGACCCAAGAAAAATAGAGTGTTGGTTTCTAATACTTTAACTTTTCTCGTTATTAGATGTTGGCTGATCACCACTGGGATTAGGGGCTCTGGAGCTCTGAAATGAACTGAATCAGAAAGGAACCTTGGAAAAATTCAAAAGGTTAATTACCCACTTTGAACACAAAACCTTGCCAGCCCCTGAAATATGACCAAGAAAACATATCCTTAATGGAATAGTCTCTACTATCATACAGGTGTGCTGCATGGCTGTTGCTCATTATGATGAGCAGGCAAGGGGCCTCCTATTCTGAACCAATCTTTATCTACTACACAATTTTTCTGGGCAAGGACAGATTAAGCTGAAAAAAAGTAGAAAAGGACTTTTAGCTTCACTGAAAGAATCGAAATCACATTTGTACGATGAAACTTTTTCTGGATAAGTTGAAGGGAACTGCCTTAGCATCCACCACCAAAACTAACACTCGGATAAAATATTGGCAGAATTAAATATTTTAGGTCAGTAGAAAAGGATGTTGTAACTGAGGTGGAGGCACTTTTTAACGAGAGACTTTTTTGAATCAGGGATACAGACTTAGCATTGGGCTTCATTAGCTTAACCAAAGCAAATCCCACTGTTTCAAAGTCTACTCTGTCCACATGGATCTAGGACTCCTAATTATTACATGAATGAAGCCAAGAATGGACTGATAAGTATTACACCAAGAATGGACAGATGTGAGACTGGGACTAGCTCTTTATATGGGCTTTCTAATATGGCCACATAATAACTTTTTCTATGGTCATAAATGAAATCATTTATGAAATATTTACTGTGTATCTTATTGTTTGTACAAGGGAACACTGCCAAAGCAAGGAAAAGTACTTTTGGACCTGAAGGGGACATCTTTGTTTTTTTATGCTATCATTTTGTCTTAAAACTTTGCACGTTGCATTTTGTATGTAAGTGATTTTAACAAAATACTTCAGAAAAGCTTTTTTTATGAAACTAGGCATTTTCCTATACCTTGCAAAGATAGTGCATTAGAATCATCTTGTTATTACGTGCACGGATTTCGGTGAGCTTCAGCAGGCTATCAAGCCGAAAACCAACAGCATTGCCTAGCAAAAAAATATTATCAAATTAATGTTTTGAAACCTAAATACATTTGATGTAAATGCCATTTCTAGGTGAAAGACAAGGACATATGAAACAATTATGTAATACTTGAAATGAAAAACTCTGACCAACATGTCATCACAGCCAAAAGAGACTCCATCTCTATCCATGCACCCAGGAAAAAGTGACACCATTAATACTTTTTCAGATACTCCAGTAAACCATGCCCATTTATTTTTACTGCAATAATTTATGCCTTTATGGAAACACTAGAATTATCTCTTGTATACTACTGGCTTCAAATACTATCTTCTCTGCAAAATTAGAGGAGTGGAGATCAAGCGTTCAAGCAACAAGCTCTTGCATGAAAACATAATAGCCCACCAATACTTGTGAGCTATTTCTAACTGCCCCAATACATATTCATTATCACAACAGCACCATTAGAAACCAGAAGTCAGGGTCACCATTCCTCATAGAAGAACTCTGTACTAATGGATGGATACAAGTGGGGGATAACATCTAAAAGGAATTCTCTTTTAGAGAAAAAGAACATTTTTCCACATGTTTTCAAAATCCACTTCAGAGCTTGAATAGGGGGGGGGGGGGGGGGAGAGAGGGAATAGGAACTACTGGTAATGGAATCCATGAGATTAAATTTATACAATCACAAAATTCTAGAAACCAAAAAGAAAGAATGATTGGCTAGGAAAATAAATACAGGCCTTAATGGCAAATTATCAAAATGATAATTCCAAAAATAGGATCTCAATAATCACCAATATTGCATTTATATCGATGACCAACAATTTCTAATACCTTTATGGCAAACCAAGCTTCAGATGTACACAATTCGACCTAAATTTTCAATTTCAGTGATTTTTTTCTTTCAATCAAACTCTATATTCAATTTGTGATTTGTGGAAAATAACTGTTGGTATTTAATTTTAACATAGCTTCTCAAAATTTCCTTTGACCATAGTACTTAAACATCATCCGCAAGGGCACAAGGGGACTTCCTAGCAATCAAAAATCATTATAAATTTTTTTTTAATTCTGATGAGTTTCTTATATTTTTTTCTATATAAGGGAAGACATACGTCATTAAGATAAAATCACCGGTGAGGATCTATTCAGGGAAAGGGCATTTCCTTTGAAAATCCTATATGATTTGACGCTAAAAATTAATGTTGCATCACTTGCATGCATAAATCAATGGGAATCGGATACAACTTACCCCTAGCTGTACCCTGGTTTAATGCATTTCCCAGTGATAGAACTGTTTGCATAATTCGTTTGAGTTTCATCGAACTTCTGATCTGGAGAACACAAATTGTTGCATGACTAAGATAGTGATAAAATAGTGATGGTGATACATAGCCATATTCACAGCATTGGAATAAGGGGCAATATAAAATTAAAGCCAGCCTACACTACAGTCAAGGATTTTTTTAAAAAAAAAAATATAGAGAAAAAGTAAAAAGCACAGAAACTTAATTAATTACTTGCCTGATCTGCAGCAGAATTCACGATGTTGAGGCTCTTCCTAAGATCAGAAGCCTAAATCAGAAACCGGTAATCAAAATTTTGCAGAGAAGATAACTTTTAAATCCAGGAGTACACACTTACCTGATTACTAAACTGCATCTTAAACGCGAAAACTCTTAGCTTAGCCTCCACTCTTGGCACTCGCATTAATTCTAATAATAGCTGTCATGAAATGGTAATCATTAAACAACAAAAAGTCAAAAACCTCACGTAAGTCCTGTTAGGAGGAGGCCTTGGAGGTCCAGAATCTCCAGCTATATGCAACCTCACCCACTAAATAGAAAAAAGTTATTTGAGAAAGACCCTTACAATTACCTCTTTGGAAACTGCAATAGATGAAATTGTGGAGGCAATAAAGCTCTCATTTCCAATAATTTTTTTTACTCAGACAGAGGCTATAAACTTAAGTGTCATAAGAAGTGTCACAAGGAGTATAATACTAATATAAAATTCTAGAATATAAAAACAGTTTCATATTTTGAGCGAGTTATATGGGTTATAAAGCTGCAAATTTTGTTATTCATGTCCACATTAACCTTTCGAATAAGATAGGGTAGAAAAGAATTGACACCTCACTTGCTTGATTTTAGATAAGAGTACAAGATATGTTTAAAACCCTGATCGTGATATTATGATCTAGTTTATAGATAGAGAATACAAGTAGTATCTAGCTCTTATATGGAGTTTGTATATGGATACCAGCTACTCTGTAATGGCTTTTTTCTTGTAAGCTTTTTGATTTATTCATGTAGCCAAACAGCCAACATCATGATAGGTAAACACATGGCTTTACAGCTTCTGCTTTCTTGATCACTTTTGCTTGCTTCACCAAAGGTTGTCTAATGAGCACATAAATAACTAAAACTTGAATCAGGCTTTATAACCATGTGATGAGTTATTTAGTTCGGCACGGATCACATATTGGTCTGTATTCTAGTGAAAAGAAAATCAATTTTATACATTAATTTTCAGAAGGTGGTTATTCAAGTTGGGCCAGTTTTTGACTTACAAGTTGGGTAACAAGCCAAATGAACCAACCAATATAAAAATTATTCAGATTATTACAAACATAAAATTTTTGGTGGGAAGACTGGGAAGTTAATCATATGAATCATGAAGACTATGATTATTTATTATCAGGATGTATAAACATAGTCCAAACCTCTTAATAAATAAACACAAAAAAAAAAAAATAAGAATTTAGACATCAATACGACAAAAGCACTATATGCAACCCATGAATAACCGCCGGCTTTTAAATTAGTTGTGCTCCAACAACAAAGAGAAATAGCCTTAAAAGGAAACTAGCATACCTGTTCACACTTCCCAAGCTTATCAACCTGTCCTTTGTATCCCTTTGTACATTAGCCAAAATAAATCTTATTAGCATTTCATGATATTTGATATAAATTAGAGGTGAAAATTACAAGAAAAAAAAAATGATGACCTGATACATCCCATTGAAGTTATTAATCCTTGTGAGACTATAATACTATAACACACATAATTTTTAAACTTGTCGTTACAGATGTTTGATAAGAGTGCAAAAGACGAACCTTAAGTAGCTCCATATCCTCTTTGGTCGGGCAAAACTTTATGAGGTTCTCAACTTGATCAATGTCCAAAGAAGAATCTTCTAGAGAAAGTATATAAGCCTATAAAGTCAAATAAATTCTATGTGAAATTGCACCATGCATACTATACACAAAATCCTATGTTAGATACAGAGCATCCATATGAACCAGAAACCAAGAAAGTTCAGCAACATTATCAGGCAGATGATATTAAGCAAAAAATGAAAATAATGCACCATTAAAAAAAAATTCTTTGTTTTTTGTTTACAATAAAAATAAATAAAAAATATCATTAATAATAAGCCATAGTGCATCTACAAAGATTATCAAGATTTATTATTCAAAAAAAAAAAAAACAAAACAAAAAAAAAAGATTATCAAGATCTGTAAAGCACAGAAGATTTAGAGATTTAACAAAACTATCACGATCAAAAGAATTTTAAGCATATTCGAACACAACTCCAGCTTCACTACTTCAAGCTCAACGTGAGCAATGTTCTTCTATGTCTTTGCATCTTTCCAAGTGGAGGCCTTGACATTTTGATTTCGTGTTATTATTGTTCGTATAAAAAATAGATGAAAAACTTTAAACCCTTCCCCATGAATAAACCTAAAAAGGGATCTGAACTCATTATGGGGGGGGGAGTCTTTCGCAAAAAGAGGAGAAAAGACCCTCGCAAAAGGATATAAAACAAAGCAGAATTAAGGAAAGAAAGCAAAAAATAATAAAGATTGGCACTTTTCATCGGTAAAACCGATGGAAGCCCCTCTAGAATTCATTAATGGAGACAAGGGTTTGAGAAAGAAGGAGAAGGAAGAAAAGAGAGGCAGCCACATCCCAAAGTAGATTCATAAATAATTCTTGATTAGGAAAGTGTAGAAAATATGTGAGTTGCAACACTGACAACAAAACACTATGCCTCGGCAATTGGTCATCACCAAGTTAGCAATATCTAGCCTTGGACATCAAATGACCAACACATAACATCAGGTTGAAAAGTTGTTTCTCAACTGACGGTATTCTAGATAACATGAGCTCAAATCACAAGCTTAGTAATCATACGATAATTCAGAGACCACAATATCAATCATGGTTTTAAATATTAGCCAATTATCTAACAGAAGGTCAGATGTGTGAAAAAGAAAGGCTGGAATGGCCAATAAAAATTAGGAAAAATTGAAACTAATAATCTCACCTTTGCCACTTCGGCACAAAACAATCCCACCTTTACGTAATCTGGAAGTAATCTCACCTTTTATCCCCATCTGCTCAAAACAGTCCCTTGACCGGTTTGTGAAAATGGTAATCAATTTTAGAAGGTGATTTGCCATGTGTCACCTTCTAATTAGTCTTATTTTTTCTAATAATTTTTTTTTAAAAAAAAATTATAAAAAAACCAGCCCCCCTCATCCCCTTCCCCCTTCTCGAACCCCCATCTAAAACAGCTCCCCCCCCCCCCCCATGCCTACCCCTTCCCTACCGAGGCCCCACCCCTCTTCCTTGTCACTCCCCTTTTCCCTACCACCGTTATATGATTGTCAATAGGGTGAGGTGATTGGGGATTCAAGGGGTTTCGGGGTGGTCGGATTTAGAGGGTTTCATGGGGGTTTAGGGTGTCAAATGTAGGGGTTTTTGTGGGTGGATGGAGTGTCAGGTTTAGGGGGTTTCGGGTGGTCGGTTTTATGGGGTTTCTGGGTGGCTGAGTGGTGGGTTTAGGGGGTTTCAGGGTGGCTAGTTGGTTAGGTTTAGGGGTCAAGTGGTGGTGGGCGCCTCGGTGAGGAAGGGTAGGGTTGGGAGTTTCGGGCGGGGGTCTGGTGGTGGCGGTGGTATGGTGGGTCTCCATTGAAGGGGTTGGGGAGGTGGGAGGTAGGAGGAGAGATTAAAAAATTAAAATTTAAATTTAAAATAAATAAATAAATAAATAAATAAATAAATAAAAATCTGTTAGACCAGTTATAGATAAAAAGGATAGTTTTAAGCAGATGAGGGGCAAAGATGGGATTGTTTTCATATTATTCAGAGGTGAGACTGTTTTGAGTAGAAGTGGCAAAGGTGGAATTATTAGTAACAATTTTTCCTAAAAATTATGTCACATCAACTCCAACCACATATGAAACACCACAATAACAAAATGCTTCCACAACGCATGGCTCACATCCCTACAACCAAGTGCTCAATAGTAATTTTTTTTTTTCCTATGTAGAAATATAGTAGAATTTAGCTATAGACAAGATCCAATATTGGAGGGAATCAAAGCTATTCATCTCAAAGTATTTTAGAAATAGGCTAGATTGGCTCTAGTTATATTACAAAAATGTTAGAATTAGCTGAATTGGACAGAGGTTTAGCCTCATTTATAAAGCTTAATAGTTAATACTAGTTACTTTCAACAGCAGTTTGTATTCACTTCGTGCAGATCTGATCCAAAAGTATGTGAACAATCAATTTAATCAATGATAACAATACCTGATTACATAGAACAAATAAAGGTGATTGTCTACCTTTTCGTAGATAACTACAAACCTCAAATGAACAACATTTTTTTCCCACAACATAAAGAAAATTTACTTATTGTTGTTTAATTACCACAAATGAAGTCAACCTATAGCCAAAGCTCTAGAATCAGAACTTTCAAATCTCTTACGGAGTAATAATCATCTACAAAGCAGATTTCAGTCAGTTTACTCATGTATCCTATAGACTTCCCTTCCATTTAATACGCCTAATGAGCTTGACAGCAGAAGTTTGGCCCTTTTATATTGTTCATGAAATTATTAGAGTGGTAGCCAATTTTAGACATGCAGGATGACACATAAATTTGAAAACAATGATGCCCTTTATATTGCTTGCTCATAATACAGTATTTGTAACTTAAACAAGTTTTCCTAAAAGAAAGTTTTTATACAGCTGATCAACAACCTTTGAGCCAAATCAAGAGCACAAGGAAGAAAAACAGCTAGTCACCATAGCTTAAGGATAGAGAACTCAATAGTTTTCCTACAATGGGAAACATGATTTCAGAAGCACCCCTCAAGCTCGTTTGCAGCTTTTGGTCCAATAATGTAACTTTCACCAGCATAAATTTTCTGGAGTATCAGGTTTAAATACTCCGATTACAGCTACCAAGGAACATATGCTTTCTCTTAATTAAAACTCATGGACCAGTTTTTCAGACAAGTGAAGTTCTTTCTATTACTTTAAGATCCATGGGCTGAAATATTAAGCCCATCTAATCTATATACCTAAAATATATTTGAGTTTTTTTTGGAGGGAATTTTTCCTCCTAAACTCTATTTTTTTTAGTTTTTATACTTTAATTATTTATTATTATGATGGACTTTTAGATCACATTTTTCATGAGACTTCTATATTTAATTTCAATTACCCTCATTAAAAACCGAGCATGGCTCGAGTATTATCTAGTATAGCTATAAAAAAGACTCCCTAAATTCCACATTATCAATCTTCTTGACTAACTTTTTGTATTCCATATTATCTATCACTAAGCAAATAATGCTCTATCAGTCTATCACTTGTCGGTTTGAAATTCCAATGATATGCAATAATAATTATTTATTTGTCAGCCAATGCAATAGTTGGCTACTCCTCAATGTATCTCCAAAACCTTGAAATATACTTACTTTAAGTGAACTTGTCCATTTTAAAATACTATGAATCAAAATTAGGTATTTAATATTAAAACAATAATAATATAAAAAGATAATTTTCTTGGTACAAAAGATCAGTTTCTCCTTCCCAATGCAAATTTTATAAACAGGGTTATTACGTAACTTCTTTTCAGAATTCAGAGTTAGAAACAAATTGAATTGAATTGAATAATGCAATTTTTTTATGTAATAAACCGTTATTCAATAAAATCGACTCAAATATTTTCTAGGGCGGACATTCTTAAGTAATGCAAGCGACATCGTATGGCATACAAGATGACAATTGGACATATTTGGTAGGGGTTCAACCTACCAACTGTATTAGTTGAAAATTTGAAATAGATCAGCATACCATCAGTTGTTTTAATGGAACTTTGACTTTTGAGAGCATGATCTCACAATTATAAGCTCGCCGATGATCAACCTGTAAGAAACAATCAAATATAAGTACAGGTAGTGATAATCAAGGAAAGAAAAGGTTGCTTCCTATCAAACAAGTATACATGAAATTGTAATTTGTAAATATCTGAAAACAGTGAAAGAGTAAGCCGTAAAAAAAATTAAAAAAAAAAAAAAAAAAAAAAAAAAAAAAGAAGAAGAAGAAGAAGCAAACTAGAAGGCGTAAAACTATGTTCCATCCATAAACATGATGGCTCTTGCAATCGACCCCCTCTCTTGGGGATAAGGCTACGGTGAAAAAGAGGGAAAATTTTTAGTGAACATTTAGTGTCGACAAATCATAGATAAATTGTATGTGAATTATGTAAACATCTAAAAAGTGTGAACCCAAAATTGGGGCATGCATTGTACAGCTAATGCTGAAAATCAGTAAGATCTACAGCAGTCAAAGCTTGATTGAATGCTGCACAATGAAAAATCATCAAACAATCAAAGTATACCACACATAAAAATAAAACGATGAATCCATGGATCAAAAAGCATATCGCAGAGGAGGGAAGATAGTTGGATGAGTGAAAGAAAACAGCTTATTTCCTAACAGAGATAAAGAAGACCATCCTTCTAATGGTCACTTGACTTACCTTACTTTGACAAAAATATCAACAACCATTACAATTACACAGAATCAATATAATTGAATAATAGGTCCAGAAGCAAACCTACTCCTACTTACTCAAAGGCTAAGCAAATAAAAATCACCAATTCTGTTATAGTAGTGAATAGGGGTTAAACAGATTTCTTGGAGTTGCTAGTCATGTACCAACACTTCAGCTACAATGGACAGGTTCTTGATCTTCTTGGAAGCTTAGACAAACACCAAACCAAGAAAAAGCTTCCCAAGTGTTCCTTATTTGGCCTAAGTCAAGCAGTGCAAAAACAGGGAGTTGAGATAAGCAGAGTGTGGGTTCTAGAAGTAGATAAATGCTGAAGATGAGCAAGATGGTGAAATGTAGTATGTCTGATGTGGGAAACTAAAAGTACGGTGATTGCAAGGCTCATCAGCAAATGAGTTTTCTGAATCCACTATACAACTCAAGAATTCAGTTGGTGAGGAGAAAGTTGTACATCGTAATGAGGTAATACAAAATCTTTGGCAGGACAAAAAAAAGAAGAGTTTTCAGTTAAGCCTATGTACTTGTCTTTAGTTTCCTTTCTCCCTGCTGGCAGATATTTTCTGCCATCATTTTTAAATTCTTTTTTGGGTAGAGAATTATGTTTCTTACTAAGTAACCAATTACCTAACCATCCTTTGTCTCTGCCAGCAGAACTATTTGGCTGTTGCGGGAAACTTTAAAGTTAATCCAGCATAGTTACACCAAACTAGAAGATGGAGAAAAAAACTGATTCAATTTAACTAAGAGCATAAAGGCTTTGTTTACTTCACCTAAAATAAGGTATTCTAGTTTGAAATTTCTAAAGTCTAGTTTAGTAGGTGGAATTTTTTTTGGTTTGATATGGTCTAATCTAATTGTCTAATTTGACTAAACTTTGACCATAAATGTACATCAATGTATAAGAAAAACATTACCCCATCAAGTAGGATCTTGGTAAATTTGCCTCCTTAAATGTGTATTTTTCAATTACCTAATTTTCATAATTGTTATAAATATGAAATTAAATATATGTGGCAATAAACAAACAAAAATAAGGTGAAGAGATTAAAGCCTAAGAATCTCCCATTATTCACACAATATGCATCCTCATATATCCATTAGCAGACGCATTAATTCAACAATAACAATAACAAAGTATTACTCCCAAATGGTCTAGAGTCTTCTAACCTGAATCGTCGTAAGGAACCATTCACAAAAAATGAAACAATGAATATAGAGGGATGAGTTAAAGGAACTAAACAAAGAAAAATGAGAAAGTGAAAGAAATGTAGAGAAAAAATTAGGGAGTGGACAACTTCATTTCAATTGAAAAAATCATGTCTAGCACAAGTACCTTGTTAACCAAAAAACATAAACAGTTTAAACTCTAACCAGTTGCACTATATCAGATTTGGGAGCTCCAAGACCACGCTTAGACTTTCCAATGGTAGTTCCTTGATCTGAATTTGGTACTGAAGCAGAGAAGAGATTCTCCAGTTCTGACATGTCAATTTCTGGAGCACTAGGATGATAAAAACATAAAAGGCAATTGTGAGATATGATATATTTCAGAAACTACAGACCCTACACCACATTCCTTTCCAAGAAACATACATTGAGGTCTCTCCAAACTTTTGAGTTTCCGACCAAAGACTTCCTTGCACTGCTCTAGTCAGCTTCAACCAGTGCAATGGCTTTAATTTACTGGTTTGGGAGTTTTTCGGTACCAAAGAACGTGAAATACTCCGTCCCTTCACATTCAGAGAGCTTAAAGGCATTGCAGGATCTGGAATAGTAGCCAACTTTGAAGCTCCATTATTTAGACCAACAGGAAGTGGAGGCGCACAAGGAACAGATGGAGTAACTTGTGGTTGCTGGGATTGAAGTCCGAGACCACGAGGAGGTGGAGGCGACGGGGGTGCCGGAAATGACCTTGAAGAACCGGACTTCTGAGGCGGAAGTGGGGCTAGGGGAGGTACAGATTTTCCAATGTTCTCCTTCAAAGGAGATGCGGGAGGAAGTGGGGGAGGGGAAGGTCTAGACTTTGCTGCACTGTTTTTATATGGCGATGCAAGAGACTGGGATGACAGAGTTCCAATTACTTCCAGCTTATCAGAAGTTTTGGGAAGAACATCTAATAGAGGTGGTAAGTAAACATCAGCATAGTTGGTTGACTTTTCATCTAAAGAAAGTGTTGGAGGACATAGAGGCACAGCAGCAGCAGCAAGAGGAGGAGGGGGAGGAGGAGGTGGTGGTGGTGGATTAGAAAGTGTTGGCGAAGAAGGAGATTTAAGGGTTGATTCTAGTCTTGAAGGATTCACATATGATCTTGGAGGGGATGGAAGTGATGACGTTGCCATTTCAAAACATGGATCCTTTCTTAGAGTATTTTCCGAAGGAGATGAGAATTCTGATAGACATCTGGCCATAACGCTAGTATCTTCATGTGAAGGATCAACAGATGGCTGTTTGAGAGTTTCAGGAGGTGGCAGAGGCCCACTCCCTAATGTTGGGATCTTGCTTCCTGAAGCAGTCAGCGGTGACTTAGTAATTGCTGATGATTGAGATGCGGCTGAAAGCATTCTTGTTTCTGGGCAGAGAGCAGTTTGAGCTATTTCCCTAGGTTGATATTGAAGCAACTGGGCCAGATTGCAACCCTTCGATACTTTTTGACAAAGAAAAACCTGATCATCCTTGTCCTCAGATTTACAAAGAATGTAATATTTCTTCTCTTCCTTGGGCTTCTGATGGCTTGATCTACACATTGGACTGATATTCACAGCATGTGGAGCAGTAGCGAAGTCAAAGTGTTCGGATGAACTGTGTGGTGGTGGAACTTTTTGTATCACACTTTGAGCAACATCAGCACTCGATTCTAGCCAATCAACATGACTAAAAAACTCCTGAACTTTAGCAAATGCTTCCATTGGAAGGCCCTCATTTTCCTCAAAGCACGACAAATTTGCAGCAACAATAGAAGCAGAGGCATCCATGTCTGAAAACAGAACCTAATTACAGGAGGGATAGAAGGGAAAATCTTCTCATTAGGCAGATTGGAAATCCATCAGCTTATACCAAGCAGACAAATAACTAAACAATTTTCACTAACAGACAAACCTCTGCACTAAAATCCTTCGGAAACTGATCCTTAGTGTCCCACGGCGTATCAATTTCATCTCGATTAAGCATTAAAATGTTGGACCTTATAAAAGCTGTGTTGAACATGATGCGGAACATCATGTCTTCATGCTCCAAATCCTTATAGAGGCTTGTACACTCGAGAACAACATCGCCTTGGATATTACAGTTTAGATCAATTTTAACAATCTCTGATTCAGCCTACACCAATTGGAAACAATTCAAAAAGCAATAATATTGGCATGCCATTTATACTGCAAGGTGTATAGGATATAACCTTTATGAAGTTATGATCTTGTGAACCACTTTTGTACCATATGTAACTTTATATTGTTAATTACAGGACATGTCCCCTATAAAGGGCAACTTAACACAATAAAAGCAAATAAGGCTTACAGTGGAGTAGAGTGAAGAGGGGAGGGGAGGGGAGGGGGGCAAAAGTGATGTATGAAGGCAAGTTGTTATTGATCACAGTAAAAATAAAATGCAAAGTAAGAAACTAGAAGGCTAAAGAAAAGATCAAATGTACTGATTGCTTATCAAACAGAATTAAATGTCAAGACAAAACAATTTTGCAAGATGGAACAATGACAAAAAGGATATTATTACTAAACAAACAACAGAAATCTGGAATCCTGGGCTAAAAGACTTAGCAGGACACAACAGCAAGACAAGCACAATAAGAAGTCAAGGTTAAGGGCCAAGTTCAACAGCTACATAAGCCTACATCGAAAACGGGAGGTGGCTATAAAATAGGAAGTATAAGCATTAATTTGGCTTAAAACAACCACTACATGTATTCCAACTCCAAAAAAATAATAAAAAAAAAAAAAAGTACAGGGTGGCAGAGGTGGAGGGGGGAGCACACAGAAATACAAAGCTACAAAGCATACAAGATGATGCAAAGGTAATGAAGCCACAAAAACAAAGATCACACTTGAACTGTAAGGGAGAAAAAAATGAAATGCTAATGTATTAGTATCAAAAAGTTGCAAATGATGTATTATCCAGAAGACTAGTGATTCCAGCATGAATAAGGTTGTGTCTTACGTTTATTGGCAGAAAATCACCTGCTTATATGTACGGGTAGCTTTGCACTGCTCTTGAGTTGAGAACAATAATTTTGGATTTCTATCCTCACCACCAAGAGGATCTTGTCCATAAATCCGAAATGAAGGACGACAACCCCCCTCTCCATTGAAATCAGGTATAAGTCTGAAAATTATACAATCCAAAGTCAATGCCCTATCCAAAGGAGGCCACTGTAAAGCAACGTTTCTCCTTGATATATATTGAAGGTATCGAAGCTGCGATGGGATGGGATTTAAAGGTGACAACAATGGCAAAAGCTCGCGAGGAGCTTGCTTGTAAACCATATCCAAGGTTCTCTGCTCCCCGGTGTATTGTTTCCTATAAATCAAAAGTGCAGCAAGCATAAAAGCCAGGACTGGCCAACCACCTCTTTCACAATGCAACAACAATACATTTTGTGGCCCCAGTGCAAGCCAACTTTCAGTTGAACGCAGAAAGTGGTGGATCAACTCCATTGAAAGGATAGGACAACCCTCATAATGCCTTGGATAATCCATTATGGTCATATCATACTCCAACATAATCTTTGAAATCGAGGTCTCCACCTCTGCCTTCCGGAAATTGAAAACCAGCAATGCAGCATCTGGAAATTGTGCGTGTAGCTGACTGACTATGCCTGCTAAGTAACCTTTATAGCTCTTCTCTTCCCAGGAGTCGGAAGTAAAACAACAATCAAAGACTAAAAAAAAAAAAAAAAAAAAAAAAAAACTTATCAGAAATGATCTAAAAGGTTTATTTCCCTATGTTTAAAGGCATAAATCTTTGGTACTAGTATAAACAATAAAACATACGAAGTATACACCAAAAGAGCAATTCTCTATAAAAACTAAATTTATAAATAAAATTGATGACAAGGGATCTGGTATAACGTAGATACCAAATTTGACTTCAGATGCTCTATTTAAGAAATAAAAATAAAAAGCGAGTTTTCGTTTCAGCTAATCAGGATAAGGAATATAGGATAGGCAAAACAAAAATTCAGTTGTTGTGGATCACCTTTACCAAACAATGCTTCATACTAAAAATAGAAACAGGCAACGAGAAATAGATTTCAGTAATATTTAACTTTAAAAGCTATGAACATTCGAAGTAGCTATAAAAAATTGAAGCAATATCAGTAAACATAATGATGCCTATTCGAGTTAAATTGTAAATATAACTAAAAATATATAGGAAAGGTAGAAGAAAGCAATTGAAATATTTGTAAATAACAACAAAGAGAAAGACGAAGAGCGAGAATGGAAGGCAATTACCATAGAGTCTCTCAGATATCTCCAGGAGTCCGTCAGGTGGCTTGCGATAGTGGAAGAGCTTGCGGAGAAGCGACATTTAATTCAATTGTTTCAGTTCCAACAACTCCGCCGCCGTTACAAATCATATACATGCAAGGTACATAGTATTTGACAGATTAGACATAAGCTTCAGGATGACATCCCAATTTGAAAATTTTGAGGTAATATTCGAATATCTCAAAAAAAAAAAAAAAAAAAAAAAAAAAAAAAAAAAAAATTCCTTTTGTTCAATTTTCACTTCCCTCTCTTGTGTCGCTGCCAACCAAACCGCCAATCCCTTCAATTCGTTCGTCAAAACCAAAAAGGGCCTCAGGCTTAAGGGACGTGAAAGTCCCGAGCGCATGACACCACGGCATGATCTGGTGGTAAACTCGTTCTCGGTCCCCTTTTTTTGGCCCTTCCGGGTCATTGTTTTTGTTTGTGTATAAAAATACTATAACAAAATTAATGTATGGTTGGTACCGGGTGAACCAGAACATGTAACATAAAAGACATTTACAAAAAAAACATGATAAAAACTTTATGGAAATTATCAATAGTACACCCAAGGTTTGAGCCTTTATCAATAATATATCTGATAAACTAGCTATACATTCAAGGTTTTATACCATTATCAGCCGTACATCTACCGTTAGACAAACGTTAAAAAAACGTTAGTTTTGGCTTTTTTAACTTAAAACTTGACACGTGGCGGCTTGTGATTGGTCCAAAAAAATAAAAAATAAAAAAAAAATTAAAAAAAAAAGTTAGATTAATAAAATAAGATAATTTTTTTTTAATTTTTAATAATTTTTTTTTAAAAAACATTTTTTTTTCCGGCAACCCGCCCAGACATCCTAACCCCCTTGCCCCCGGTGCTGGCTAGCCAAACCCTCCTCGCCGGTTGCCGCCCCCTTCCCCAACAACCACCTTGCCGCCCCTCCCCTTTCTCGTAGCCACCATCCCCGAAACCACCTGACTCCCCCACAAAACTAACAACACCACCAACCTCCACCAATTCACGAACCCAGCAGCCGCCCTTATCACCGCTGCTCCATTTCAACACCCACCATCAGTGGCCGACAATTGTAGAAGTTGTCCACCGTCCGACCACTTTCGACCATAAATAACATACCCAATAGCAACACCAAATCCCCCGCACCCAATCTCCACTTCGCGCCACCACAATTCGCCACCCACCATCACCGTTCAATCCATACTTCGCGCCGGATTTGGTTACTTGTAGCAGGAATTTATGGTGGTGGAAGGGAAGAGGAAAGAGAAAGGAAAGAGGAAAGAGAAAGGGAAGGGTGGTCAGAGGGGGGTGGGATGTCTGGTTGGCTGCTGGAAGTTATGGAGGAGGAGGAAGGATGGAGGAAAGAGAAAGGAAGGAGGTAGGAAAAAAAAAGGAAAAAAATAAAATAATGTTGTTTAAAAAAATTATCAAAGTTAAAATTAAAAAAATTATCTTATTTTATTAATCTAACTTTTTTTAAAATTTTATATTATTTTATTTTAATTTTATTTTTTTGGACCAATCACAGGCCGCCATGTGTTAGTTTTTAAGTTAAAAAATCCAAAACTAATATTTTTTTAATGTTTGTCTAACGGTAGGTGTACGGCTAATAATGGTATAAAACCTTGTATATACCGCTGATAAACAATAGTTTAGCATGTGTACTATTGATAAAGGCCCAAACCTTGGGTGTACTATTGATAATTTCCCAAGAACATAAGTTAAAGAACATACGTTAAAGAACTCATTAGCTCAAAGAACATACGAGCCAAATTCAAAGAATATATTTTGTATTATTGAAACCCAAAAAAACATGTTTAATCAACATATGTTAAAGAGTATAAGTATAGAATAACATATTATCAAACATATATAAGTATGTTCTTTGTCAAACATAAGTATGTTCTTTGTCATACACGATATGTTATTTATCAAATAACAGTATGTTCTTTCCGTATGTTCTTTCCACTTTTCGGGTGCACCATGCGCATGGTGCACCCGGGTGTACAATACTATTTTCATAACAAAATAGAGTGAAATATGTTGATGGTTTTATAAAAAAAAAAATTCATTTGTCAATTTTTGTAAATAATAGGGTAGCCTACACGCGCGGAAGGGCTAGCTCTTATGGATAAGTTGTATTGACGTGTGTTTATACCTTTGGTTTAGGGGGTATTTTAATACATACTATTTGGTATATGTGCCAATGTGTGGCTTTGTAGAAGGGATTGAAAACCACCAAAATCTTTTATGATGATTTTTCTTTAAAATCCTCGAAAGTTTGACAGTATAGTTCCAAAAATATTAATAAATATAATTTAATTGATTTGCATCCCTTCGCATCATATTATTATCCCTTCATATCTTAAGGGACAATTGTTAGTTTTCTTAATTGATTTGCATGTTTCAATAATACTTAGTATAATATTTCTAGCGTGGTTTTCATTAGATGAATTATTTGTGAGCTTAAGTCATACGAAGTAATAATATGTGAAATGTTGTAGCTAAAAACTTAACAATGTAAGTTCTTTAATGTTCTACGACTATCTAACATCTATCTATATCTAATACTAAAGCAATAACCACTTAGTTATCAGCAAGTCTTGTGTGCGGTTGGCCACACTGTGTGGCCGCTTGTAAAAGAACAAAGTAACCCCTAAAACACTAATCAAGTAACCCTTGTAACACCGACTAAGTAACCCTATAATGCTGACAGAGTAATCCCAATAACACTAACAAAGTAACCCCTAAACACTCATCAGCTAACCTGTAACACCCCAATAATTCTCTCTTAAAAACCTGTAAATACCTTTATCAATTTGCAAGAGAATTACTGATGTGCTACCGCCATGTGTTCAAACGTTAAGGCTAGTTCAAAGTTTAGCAGCGGAAAAACTAACTCAGTTATCAATAAGTTTCAAAACCAAAAATCAAAACCAAATTTAGTCTTACAAGTCGGAACCATTAAGGCCCTCATTCAAAACCCAATAAAAGTAGTAAATAGATCAAACTAGAGTTAAAATAAATCCAAACTTATGAAATGAAATATACTGTGGAAACATACAACACTCCACTCAAAATCTCACCACCTTGATGCAAGTTCTGATTATGTATAAACCTATGATTAATCTGCTCCCTAATATTACAAGTGTAAAAATTGGATCATTACAGGGTCATTGAAAAGGCGAAGGCCATGACCAAGAAAAGACATACAAAAGCACGCAATCAGCAACGTTGAGTACATACAAGCTACGAAATATAACAAAGAATCCCTAGCATGTTACTAAAAATTAATTAGCACACACAATTTAATTATTGACTCAAACACACGCTTCAACTGTTAACATTACTAAGAATTCACTAATTATCAACAATTATTCATTTCATTACATTCATTGATTGGATTAAGCAATAGACCAGGTTGTCTCCCCATGCCCCAATTCGGAACATCAATAAAAGAAAAACCCTATGTCTCCTTTCGGAAACATTAATAAACATCCAATGGCAGACGGGCGCGACTCCGTGACCATAGCTAGTATGAGATCTCATCTAACTCCTTATAGTTAAAAAAAAAACATTTGTAAACAAGAGACTCGTACATCAGACGACCTCTAGAAAGTACACGGCTAATACCCCGTGTACCCCAACCCCTGTTTGTCATTACTCTAAATGTGCACAAATCCAGAGTTTTATTACTCATCCATCTTGCACTTTACGTGATTTACCAGTTTAAACTTGGTGATGACTCAAATGCAAAACAATACAACCAATCATACATCCATCATTCAAACAATTCAAATTTCCAATTCAATTCTTGATTTATTAGTGACAAACAATATTTAGTATTAAATCCTTTAACTACCTCGGTGTATAAACACTTTAAGTGCATAAGGCACCTCAATCCTCAACCTCGTCTTATAAGACTTTAAATCTCCCTTTACTCATTCCATTTTATTAATTATGAACGAGTAATAAAATAATTCATTCCATATATTCATGTACCTTTGACTCTAAGCCCATCTTGCAAGTTATTGCATAAATAACACTTACAAGAAAAATCAATACGTATTTCTCATACATGAATCAAACCAATCATCACATTAATCGTCAATCAAACTCACTACCAAACAATTTCATCCAATCTACAAGTTTCCTAACATGATCCTAAGTTTTTCCAGTTCTTAAACATGCTTCTAAAGTCAAGGTTTTCGTATCCTTGTACGTATCTTGAGTAAACGAGTTGGTTGGCCACTTTAGGAACTAAAAATCGCCTTCTACAAAGTCTTCTCCTAAACCAAACAATAATAATTCAGTCAATACCCAAGCAATATAATTTACAGCAATACTAACTTACTTTAAAACCCCTTAAACCATTGAAATAATGCTTTTAAATTACTCACAATAGTCAAAGTTAATAATTCAATAGTTCAGGTATAAGTTTATATGTTAAAATCATGAAAATATAGCTTATAACATAAAATTCGAGCAACTTTAAAGTAAGGATTATAATCTGAAAATTTAGTTTAAGAATATAAAACAACCTCATAAACATCTCTACTTGAAATAATCATTATATAGTAGGTTAGTATGTTAAAAACCTAAAAATCCATCATAAAACCATGATTTAAATCCTTTAAAACCAAGATGAAAAATCTGAAAATTTAATTTAATAGTAGAATGTATGAATATAACAATCTAAACTTGAAATATATAATTAGAATTCAATTAGTTTCATAAAAACTCAATTAAACCTTCAAAATTCAATTAAACAACACTTTAAAACCTTCATTTTTTCTAGAATTAAAAGCTTATATATTATTCTTAAAATTTCCTACATAAAAACATTAAGATACATACTTATTCATAAAATTACAACAATTTTAGAGCTTTATAAAAATCTGAAAATTTATTTTAAACATTAAACCTTCGATAAAAATCAAAAATTGCCCGAAAACCATATTTAGAGGCTGAATTTGGCCACGAGAGGGTGGTTAAGGAGCTCATTGGGAGGCGTATCAAGGAAGGAAAGGAGATCAAGGTTGTGGTTAACTAGATCAGTGACAGCAATAAAGGTCAAGCCAGGGCGAGTTTTCTGAGGAAGCAATAGTTGGCCGTGTCCCAACCGACCCTAACAACCACGTAATCATCTAGATCTTTGGCAACATAACGCAGGAGCTCCCTCCATGTGTGGTCATTAACAGCCAAAAGAATGCGCTTACAGTTGGTGGTCATGTTCATAAGGTCGGCTACACAGGGGACAAGGCCACCAACCCAAAGGGTCTTGGTTTTGGTGTTATACCACTTGATGTGGCCAGCGACCTCCAAACATGACCGAAACTTCACATCATATAGTGAGGTAGGTCTCTTGTCAAGGTTGAAGTCAACATCAACATCTTCAACATCACCATAACAAGGACAGCTCTCCCAGTCATCATCGTCGTCATCGTTAATGTTCTGCTGCTTGGTAGTAGACTCCTTATCCATTATTAGAATGTCGTGATTTGATTCTAGAGCCGTTTTTGACATTTTAGAGGCCAGAGCAAAATGATAATTAAAAAAAATCATTTATTTATATAATTGTTAAATAGTTATGTAATATGTTAATTCGTAAATAATTTTATATAATTTGTTAAATACTTTCTCCCTTTTTCTAATTCCACCATTTGGACATTTTCATTCACACTTCTCTTTTGATCTTCTTTTGTGACATATCCGTTAAAAAAAATATAATTAAATATCATATTTTTATATTTACTTAGATAAATAACTAGTAATCATCAATAAATGTTGGTTTAGATTTAATTTACATTCATTCTTGTATTGAAATATGTTCATAAGAATTTTAAAACTTGTACAACCTCATATTGAAAGATAACATTTTCCTATAGTACATTTATTTTTATATTCATAAATGTTCATTATTATATTCTTAATGAATGTTACTACATTTTTTTTTTCAAATTTTGATATCTTTTTATACGGAATCAACAAATAAGAAAGTTGAAGGTAATAAGGAGGATGATTCTACATTACTAGATGCATTTTTATTTTTATAGAGAGTACATGACTAACCAAAACCAGACGAGAACGATGTCCAAAAGATATCAGCAAAATAAATCGATCGCATGATAAGAGCAAGATACACAGAAGCAGTGTCAATATGATTGTCATCAAGCACAATAGTTTACAATAATCACAAGGAAAATACACACAAGCACAATGGGCAGCAACATTTCAGAAGAGAGAAACTCATATTATCCTTGAAGAAAAACATCAAGACTATATGCTACAAATATTCTTCACAGTACATGTAGGCAACATTATGATGCATTGCATGAGATACTATTTCAATGGTTTAACGTCTACACTCTCAGAATTATCAAACACTGGTTTCAAGCAAAATAGACACATTTGGAAATACTAATTAAATTAAACCCAATCCTTCTTGTCCAACTTCTTGTCCAGGTATTCATTATGGATGTAGTTTGAGTCTATGCTAGTGCCGCGGTTGGGGCTTATTAACAGGAATGGCATGAAGATAGGGTGATCTTGGAGGAGCTTCAGCTCAACCTTCCACCCTTCCATCCTGCAGAAACTAGGATCACTTAACAGCCGATCATTCATCATTTTGAAGTCACTTTGACACTGCTTCCACGAATGAGCTTCGAAGCAAGCACCATAGGTGTCAATGTTGGAAGGTCTTAGGCTGAGCCATTTGATGTTGACAGTGCTGTCCTGACTCACTCCTGCCTTTTCACATTCCTTCGAAAGATCCAACTTGTAGTGGGTAAGGAGCTCATTGGGAGGCGTCTCAAGGGAGGAAAGGAGGTCAAGGTTGTGGGTAACTAGATCGGTGACAGCAATAAAGGTCAAGCTAGGGCGAGTTTTCTGAGGAAGCAATAGCTGGTCGTGTCCCAACATCCCCTAACAACCACGTAATCATCTAGATGTTTGGCAACATAACGTAGGAGCTCCCTCCATGTGTGGTCATTAACAGCCAAAAGAATGCGCTTACAGTTGATAGTTATGTTCACAAGGTCGGCTACACTACAGGGGACATGCCCACCAACCCAAGGGGTCTTGGTTTCATTGTTATACCCCTTGATGTGGAAAGCGACCTCCAAACATGACCGAAGCTTCACATCATATAGTGAGGTAGGTCTTTTGTCAAGGTTAAAGTCAACATCAGCATCTTTAACATCACCATAACAAGGACAGTTCTCTCAGTCATCATCGTCATCATCGTTAATGTTCTGCCGCTTGGTAGTAGGCTCCTTATCCATCATCAGAATGTCGTGATTTGATGCCAGAGCCGTTTTTGACATTTTAGAGGCCCAGGGCAAAATGATAATTAAAAAAACGGATTTTTCACCAAATACCACTGAGTTCTTTCGTAATTACCATATACCACACAAAATTTTCTAATACACCAAATACCACTGAGTTTTAGGTAAATGTCACAACATACCATTTCCATTAACGGTGTTAATCATTAACGTTAATTATGCCACGTGGCAGCTTGTAATTGGTGATTATTAATGTTATTTATTTAATTAACTAACTTTAAATTTTTTTTTTAAAAAAATAACACCTCCAACTTAACCACTGTTGCCACCAGCCCAGCCCCAACCTCTACCCCCGGCTGGCCGCCTGGTCCATTTCCCGGCCGGCCGGCGACCATTCCCTTCCCCTCCTCTTTCCCGTCGCGACCCACCCACCCATTTAAACCCAAAACCCGACTGAAACCCCACCCATGGAGCTTGCGTAATTTATGAATTTGATGAATGGAGATGTCGTCTTGTTGCTGCTGGTGATGATCTTCAAGTTCGTCGTCTAAATCCATGGCGGAAGAATCCATTAAAGCCGGTAACTCGAGTAATTACCCTCAGCAACAAACCTTCTTTCAAAACACGAATACACTCCATTTGCACAAACTAAGTTCGAAGAAAACGAAAACCCCATTTAGGGATTCCAGATTTTGGGGAAACCAATTCGCAATCAAATCCGAAAAAAACGAAAACCTCATTTGCACAAACCAAGTCCCCTTCAAGATTAACCCTAACCCACGACCTAATTTAGGGATTCCAGAATTTGGGGAAACCAATTCAATCATAGTAGAAAACACATAAATTGCAATCGGAACAAGCATTAAATCATATTAACGATTCTCAATTCCATCAGAATCCTTCAAATGGAGATGAGAAAGTAGAGAAGAGAGTTGATGATGAAGAGGAGAGAGAGAGATGCGGCGGAGTTAAGGGTAATTGTGGAGAATCGACGGTGGTTGTTGCAATGGTTGGGAGGAAGAGGAGAGAGATTCCCAAGCTCCGAGAAGGATGAAACTGCCGCCGGTGAATGCCATTGAAAATAGCCCCATTGTAGTTTGATGGTTTTTTGGGAATTGGAGCTTGATATTCTGCAATGGACAATCAAGAAATGGAGATGGAAGAAAGTTGAGAGATTGGTATTTGGTGGTGGCAGCAGTTTTTTTTTTCTAATTATTTTTTGTTTTTGTTTTTGTTTTTTTTTTTGTTATTTTTTTGGTTTTTTTTACAATTAATTAAATAATTTAGAAAGGAACCAATCACAAGCTGCCACGTGGAATTATTAGCCTTAATGACTAACGGTGTTAACGTTCGTTAGTCATTAATGGTATGTTGTGACATTTACCTAAAACTCAGTGGTATTTGGTGTATTAGAAAATTTTGTGTGGTATATGGTGAATTACGAAAGAACTCAGTGGTATTTGGTGAAAAATCCGTTAAAAAAATCATTTATTTTATATAATTGTTAATTAGTTATGTAATTTGTTAATTCGTAAATAATTTTATATAATTTGTTAAATACTTTCTCCCTTTTTTTAATTGCACCATTTGGACATTTTCATTCACACTTCTCTTTTGATCTTCTTTTGTGATATATCCGTTAGAAAAAAATATAATTAAATATCATATTTTTATATTTACTTAAATAAATAACTAGTAATTATCAATAAATAATAACTAATCAATAATCCATAAGTATATATTTCAATAACTATTTACTTAATGACACACTAAAAAAATTTGTGTTGATTCTTGGTGAGATAATGCACCATTCTTTTTTTGTCATTCTCGTATGGAAAATATTTGTGTAAAATAGAATTTCTTATATAGATAATTAGTAAATGGAAAGTCTAATATAATAAAATAATGAAAAAAATAGCTATAATAAGTCGAACTTTAGGTGATCTTCCACTATTAAGTCAACTTTAATGAATTAAAAAATAAGTCTAACATTGTTGTCTATATTCCATAAATAATTTAAGTACTAGATTTGAATTGTGACCGGTCAAACAAGTCATCAATTGACTTATACTATAATTAACTCTCAATTAAATAAGAATTGACTTAATTAAAAACAAAATATAGCTTAATATTAATTTTAAATATAAAAAATTATTTTTAATTTTAACTATAATAAATAATTTTTTTAAAAAGATTGGGGTGTCGGGTATTGTGTGGAGGCTGGGTGGTCATAGGTTTGTGCCGACTAGGGTGGGTGGGATTTGTGTGGGTTCGGTCGATCGGCTAGGTTAGGGCTAGGTGGGAGTTCACCACACAATTGTGGTTTGAGAGTAAGAGTTGGGGTTTGGGTGGGAGGTCGCCAAATAAGTGGGGTTCGAGAGTTAGATTTAGGGTTTGGGTGGGTGTTCGCTGGACTGGTTGGGACACTAGGGTGTAAAGTCAAAATGTATCTAATAAAAGAAACAGATGGAGTATTAGAGCAACTCCAATGGTAAGCTAATTAGCAAATTAGCTTTTTTGGCCACATAAAATTTTAAAGCTAATTATGTTGTAGCTAGTTTGTGCCCTGGCTACTAGCTTGTGGTGTTTGCCAGAGAGAAGAAGAATATGTCATGCATGCGTTAAAAGATTGCAGTTTAGCCCGAGCAATTTGGAGTAAGTGCAATTATTCTATGGTATTGTCTCACTCTCTTTGTAGTATGGTTGATTGGTGGGAGCACTGTTTTGGTAATTATGGAGAGGATATGGTGAGTTTAATTATCACGTGTTGGGCTATGTGTGGCGCAAGGAACAAATGAATGATTGAGGGTGAAAATCCGAATGTTGAGCAAATTGCTGTCTATGCTTTGAAGATTAAAGGTGGGAAAGTTGAATATGGGGAATGGAGGGGTGGAAAGAGTGTCTTTGTGGACATGTCTCTTCCGGTATCTGGTGTGGTTAAAATAATTGTTGATGCTGGTGTTTTGGGGGAGGTGGGGACGGGGTTGGGTGCAGTCTGCAGGAATAGTGAGGGGGTGGTGCTTTGGGGAGCTACGATGTAGTGGAGTGAAAAATGAGATACTAAGATTGCAGAGGTGAAAGCGGTATTTTGGGGCATGAAGATTGCGAGACACAAGGGTATGAGGTGCATTGGGATCGAGAGTGATAATCTGGTGGTGATTGAGGCAATGAGGAAGCGTTTGTATGGCTCCAGTTCCTTTCATCTGATTATAAAGGATTCTAGATTTTTTTTCTTCTAATTTTACTAGTGATTCATGGTCTTTTGTAAAGCGAGGGGGTAATAATGTAGCATACAAATTGACTTACTTTCAACCATGGGAGTTTGGCCAATGGGTGTGGAGTGATGTAATCCCTCCTTGCATTTTGGAAATTTCTTCGGTTGATCTAGATAGGTTTATTTTAAAATTTTTTTTTATTAAAATTGTCACTTCCAAAGTTATTCACTAATAATTTTCTGTTTTCCACATATCACTAACCAACTCATACAATTAACTCACTCATACAATTCTACAGTTGCTAGTCTGCAAATGTATTTATAATAAAATGTAGGTGACCGTCAACTGATGTTAAAACCGCAAAGGTAACACTACCTATACAATTGCATAGTTCACACTTCACATGACACAATTAATTTGCAATAATGGCCACGACAAAAGAGTCATCCTACCCACATTTTTTTTGAGGAAAACTCATCCTAACCACATTTAAGACATGATAACTTGTAATTGACTTATGTTACCATACTTTCCTTTCGTTTGTTTTAAACTCGGTTTAATTAATCTAATTTCAGCCGTTTTCAAAATTAAAAAAAAAACTTACAAATAAATTATACAAGCTTTAGTGTGTGAATATAGTATTTGAGAAATGGAAGTGTAAAGATAAACTAATACTCTGTACTTTTAAAAATAGGTTTACTCTAAACCCTTAAAAGATCTGCCATGCCCCTTAATTGGATGATCGTATAAAGACTCAGCCCAACAGCCGCCCCTCCTGCCCTTCCTCAGGGACGGGCCTGTTTGATGCAACAACTTTCTCCAATAAATAAGCCTTGACAACTGGTTCTCTGCTACACATTATTGCAAGCAGGTCAGCAGACGCTATAAATTGGAACGGTGTGCCTTCATTGACGGGTCTTATGGAAATCTGAACCATAGGAACCAAAATGGTTACAACAAGATGAATATACAATACGCCATTAAATATCAGGTGCATGAACCACATAGCATAATCATCGTTTTAAACATTTTACCTAATTTCTTCAAACTGACAAGTAATGGATGGGCAAATGAATTAGAGATTAATATGGTCCATAACGCCTAAGTGTAAGCCATCAAGGGAACCCCTTTAATTAAAGCCATCATATATATCAAATTAATATTCGAATGGTAGAAAGTGAGGTTCATATATATCCAAATTAGTTGAAGGGCTTGCTATTCAATCAATACGGAAACTTTCGCCGATTAACATTCGCTCTGATTAGCTAGGTAGAAATTCACATACAAAAAAAACCCTCAATGGGGCTCAGCTTCAACAGAGCGTCCATCATATCTGCAAGTTTTGTAACGTCTCTGCTGCTAGTGCTACCGCCGATCACATCTCCCATCTTCGGTTCTCCTCTCTAGCTTGCGATCATTCTTACTCTGTCGAACAACTAAAAATATCTATTTAACAGCTATTGCAGTAATGTTCTACGGTAGCAATTCAATTGCAAACTCTGGTTACAACTATATAAATAAATTGATTAGTTTTATTGTAAGTCTGCTCAACTGCTATGATTTAATTGCAAACCATTGATCAACTATCTAAACAAATTTAAGAGTTTTATTGCAATTATACAGTGTCATTCAATTGCAAACCCTAGATCAACTATATAAAGAAAATGAAGAACTTTATTATACGATTGTTCAACGGTTTCAATTCTATTGCAAACCCTAGATGGGCTAGATCAACTAGACAAATAAACCGGCCTGTCAATATACACAACAATTCCAACTACTAATCTACTCCAAAGATTCATACAATTGGATTTTAAGCTTAGTCAAAAACAAAAACAAAATCAACATGCAATCAAGTTTTAAACTTGTTTTGGGTGTACCTTGATTGTGAGGAAGCTCGGGTTTGATTTCGGCGGAGTACAGGCCAGCGGGATCGGGTTCTAAACTACCTAAACATATCAACCATAACAAGCAACTAAATTAAATTAAGATCCTTCAAAATTTACGAAGGAAAACTAAGAACATTGAAAAAAAGGAAAAAAAAAAACTCACGGTTTGAGGAGAGAGAAGGGGAGAATGGAAGAAGAGAAGGAAGAGGACAAGGAAGAGGCGCAGTGAAGTGCGGGGGATGGTTTTGAGTATGGGTAGTATAGGTGGGCTAGGGTTTATATAAGTGGGCTCATTTTGGTTTGAGTATATGGGTGGCAAATGGATCAGGTCGTGTCGGGTTTGTGTTCGGATTGACTAGTTTCAGGTCATTTAATACCCAATCCGGCCTGATCCGTGTAAGTTATTTGGGTTGAACATCCCAACCTGAACGTGATTTTTTCAGGTTGGTTCGGGTTAACATGAAAATGACTCAGTTTGACTTGATTTTTTAACCTGATTTTGACTACTTAGCAATTAACACAACCTGATTTTTTGTCTGATTTTTCAAACCTAATTTTCAAACTTAAAGTTTTTAAGCTTAATTAAAAATACAAATCAAAATAATTAAATAAAGTCTTAACAAATTACATTCCGCAATTAAAAAGATTAAAATGTATTTAAATAAACATTACAGATTCACAGTTGAATCAATCTACTCAAGTGTCCTTCATGAGCTCTAAGTTGTTATTTTAATGTTTTATTTTGTTATATTTTTTTAGGGTTTAGGGTTTAGGGTTTAGGGTTTAGGGTTTTAGGGTTTAGGTTTAGGGTTTAGGGTTTTAGGGTT